TTGAAAACGCTTTTAGTTCGTCTATTTTTCTAAATTTTTCACGGAAAATGAAAATTTTCCGTTTTCTAAAATTGCAAAGAAGTTGGAAAATTTTGGAAAACTGATAATCATTGTTTTTCACATTTTTCTAATTCCAAAATTTTTCTATAAACACACACCTACTCCACCCCATCCACCTCTACCTACCCCCCCCCCCCCACACACACACACATACATACATATCCACCCGCACACACACACACACCAACCCACAAACACACACACATACATACATACATACCCACACATACACACACACACACCCACAAACACATACATACCCACCCACACACAAACACCCACCCGCACACACACACACACACACCAACCCACACACATACACATACATACCCACCATCACCACTAACCTGTCACTAGCACCAGCACCACCGTTGCCGCCTGTCATCACCACCACTGACACAATTGCCATCGCCACCACTATCGCCTGTCATCACCACCACCGCCGCTAACCCACTACCAACACCGTCACCGCCCCCACCCACACCTTACCACCGCTACCGTTTTTTAAAAATGAAAACCGATAGAAAAATACACATCTAAACACGTTTTCTAATTTTCTAAAACTGAAAATGAAAAATGAATAAGTTTAACTAAACGCGTTTTCTAAATTTTTCAATGAAAAATGAAAACGGAAAACGAAAATCGAAAAAGGAAAACAAAAAACGGAAAATGAAAAGTGTTTTTCCGTAACTAAACGCAACCTTAGTTTCTAAAGTATTCTTCAAATTTTCAACTTTAGATTTAAATATTGTTAGAACTTTTTAAATCAAAATAATATCATCAATAAGATGCACGACATCATGGAGACTCTAACATTCCTTTGGTTACCATTAATGTGACTCTAAAGTGCATAAACATGCCTACAAAGCACAACTAAACCCTTACAAATGCAAGACGACTAATGATATCAGGTTATTTTTAACCTCTAGAACGTGTTGAACACTTGTGAGAGTCCTCACTACTCCATCACACATTCAAACATCCATCGACATGTCGAAAGTCTAGACTAAAATAGTTGTGCAACCTAAATTTGAAATATTAGTCTTTATTAATTTGATCTCTAACTTGAACTACTCAAGTGTAGGTTAACTTGGAAAAGAGGTTGAAGACTTACTAAAGTCATGCATGAAACAAACTAAACCAAAATGATAAGGACTCGAGGTTGATCATTTATGTAACATTGTGTTGAAATAAGACATGATCCCATATTTTTGCATTTTACACTATATGGTTATTATACATCTTTGACTTTGATTGCACTAATAAATAAAATAATATATTTCTTACTCTCATAGATCACCATGTAACATTAAAGATAACCATATCATGTGGTTCTATATATTAAGAAACATCATAAAAAAATATGTCTTATATTTATCCACAATGTGTTTAATAAATAAACACTTTTGTTATTGACCTTTCGAATGGAAATAAATTGATTTTTATTACTTAGCAATTTGATCCTGTGACCCTACCATGATAATTCTCATCCCCATACAACCACCTCGATGACACCAAGTGGTCTATTGAGTCCTAATTTTACAACTCTTTCATCGTTCCATAGTTGAATGTCGTGGTCGCATACCATTACTCACACTTTCTAAACTATAACCATGTAAGAATCATTTTCCCTCATCCTATGACTCATCATTTTCTACCCTTAGTCATCCCTATATTTTATTTCACCATCAACTATGTCGAACCCACCATGCTTGAATCCCCTTCACTAACACCACCTTATCGATATATATATATATATATATATATATCATCTTCCATCAAACCATATGCCAACATGGGATCTTCAAACCCAAAGTCCAATTTAACCTCTATGGTCGATCCATATCACTTTTGATACAAACCCTAAAGTTGACTTATATTGTAATTTGCAATTACTAAGAAATATAATGCTCTTGATAAATGATGAACCTTTTATTATAGTGAAACTATAGGATCACAATTCTTGTCGAAAGATTATTTACAGGTTTGTCATTTCAAAACCAAAGTCCAATTCATCAACCTACATTTGTGCCATGGGATCTTCAGACCCAAGTCCAATTCGCACCTCAACACCGCAACTTCACATATAACATCACAATTCTTTTCGTTAGATTATTTACAAGTTTAGATAAATCTTTGCCACTTTAAACCCAAAATCCAATTCATCAACCTACATTTAAGCCATGGGATCTTCAGACTCAAGTCCAGTTCACACCCTAGCACCGCAACTTCACATATAGCATTGCAATTTTTTTGTTATATTATTTACAAGTTTAGATAACTCTTTGCCACTTCAGAACATGTTTTCCCACTGATCAACAGGTCCACCGCTAAGGGCTCTGCCTGTTGACCCCGCAAGGAGGAGCGACCCCTCAACCCCCTTATTTTATTGTGCCCGTTATCAAACTCATTTTATATGCACATATGCACTCCACACCATCTCACTTGTATTATATAATAGAATCAATCCTCACTGGCACATGTTTATTTCAAGAGTAAATTACACGGATGGTCCTTTAGTTTTACATTTTTTACCTAAAATGGTCCTTACTAAACTTTTTTTTTCCTAAGATGGTCCCCAAGGAGAAAATATTGCACATAAATGACCCTTATGACTAACATCGTTAACAAATTCTGTTAAGTGATTGTGAATAACAAAAATACCCTTTGTTTTTTGCACACAAATGGTCCTTCTCTCTCTCTCTCTCGGTATCTTTCTCCCTCTCTCTCTCTTTCTCACACATACACACACAAACCTGTTTGAAGATCATCTCATTGCCAAACCAAATTCTCTTTCAACAAAACTAATATTCGCATGTGTAAACTGAACATCACCATTACTAGGCAACTTCATCACCAATCTATTCACTCTCACTTTCAATAAATTCTCCAAAGATGCTCACAAGATCCGATTAAGGAACAAGTGACATATTCCCCAAGTTGAAAAACCTCGTTTGTGCAAGTCATTTCTTATTCTCTCTACCTCGTGTACTCAAGAATAGAAGAAGAAATCAACACCTATTACATAAATCAGAAATCCGCAATTGAAACATATATTGGAGTAGTGTTTTTAAACCTGAACCATGAAGCAAAAAACGATGGAGTTGGGTATTGTCTTTTCGACTATCTTGACTCAACTTCATTACCACCCTCCTCCACATCTCACCGGACCTTTTCCTCTCATTATGGGAGTCCACCATCTTCGCCATACTCTCTCTTCCTCTCCCTCCCTCCCCCCCCCCCCCCCCCGCTTGTATGTGTTTCTCATTAGCCCTAGATAAGTTTTCCTACTTCCTTGTTATTACAACTGCTTAGTGTTTATAGCAGTAACCAGAGATTTTTTGTGAGAAAGAAGAGTGGTGGTGGTGGAGGTTGTTTTTTTTTGTGAGAAAGAAGAGTGGTGGTGGTGGAGGTTGTTCAATAAGGGATTGGTGGTGGAAACAAGAAAGACGCAACAACGATTTAGGGATAGTGACAATGCATTGTAGAAAAAAAAATCAGAAACAGATAGTAAGAAGAATCAGAAGCATGTGTGTGTGTGAAACCCATGAAATCGTCGCCGGACGAACCTTCGATATTGTCACTTCTGTCAGACGTGCTTTCATATCCCTCTCCTCTAACCCTTGAAATTGGAGCTTGAAAATCGAAGCTTGAAATCCCTCTTGATTTCAGTCGAAACTAGATCAATCCAAACATACATAAGCGCATATCCCAAACACCTTTGTTCATTCCTACCAACACCACCATTGATTCCAAACTGAAATTGTTGCTCATAGTTTCGATCTTGATATCATCATCATCCTTCTTTCATGAGCGCTCATCTTCACGTCCATTCTTCTCATTTCCATAATAATACTCGACTTTATCCTGATGTGATCGATCAATATTCTCTATCGGAAAGTGTTATAATTTATAGATAATGAAATAACTTCAAAAAGTCAATAGCTTTTACAGGCCTGGCCAACGAGAGAGAGAGAGAGAGAGAGAGAGAGAGGTGGGTGGACGAAACATTTTCTTAATTTCAAATTAAAAAAATAAAAATAAAATAAAAAACAAAGGGCATTTTCATCTTTTCATAAGGGTCATTATGTGCAGAGTTTACTCCATAAGGATCATCGCAGAAAAAAAAGCTTTGTAAGGATTATTTCAAGAAAAAGATGTAAAGCTAAAGAATCATTAGTCTAATTTACTTTTATTTCAATTACATTAAATGGTCGATGATGCTAAAATCACCAAGATATGGATGACTTGCGGTTATAAAATGATATCTACCAAGCAAGTAAGGGTTAAACAAGTTTGACGTGTTAAAATTGAGATGCATTCGAGGAATAATCGTTTAGGTTGTATTTCACATGTTAGTTGAAAAACAAGTTTTTAGTTTATACTTTAACTAATTAATAAACAACTTATCAAAAAACTAGTTTATAAGTTACGATAAACTATCTTTATATATTAAATTTCAATAAACTTAAAATATATATATATATATATATATATATATATATATATATATATATATATATATATATATATATATACCAACTTATGTACATCAAACATAACCACAGGCAATCAAGGATAAAAATATAATTACTATCATATGATGGTATAGTTGAAAACAACATAAAAAAGACAACGAAATCTGCATATTATTTACATGTTTTAAGAGGTAAAATTTATTTAATAATAAATGATGTGAACTTTAGTTACAAAAACTAAAAAAGCAGATTACACCTGACTGCGACACTACAATCTCATAAGTTGACTTCATATATGTTATGGCGTGTATTCATAAGGTTATTTATTATTTTCATATCAGTTGAAATCAGAAGTAAAATAAAATAAAATGAAACTATACAAGATATGTTAAAAAAAAAAAAAGATATAAAATTCACATGAAATAAAAATAATATAAAAAGAAAGAGTGTTTTATTAGTTACCTGAACCTGATTCGTTTAAGATCGTTTCCACCACGCGGCAGCGAAATGAAGGTAATGAGAACACCGGGTTCAACCTGAGCAACCCACTCTTTCGGTTCAATCTCATCGACCAATACGATCGGCTCAGGTCTCCGGCCACTCGCCGACGCCGATAACGTACCAGACACCGCCTCACCGCCTCCTCCACTCCCCATCGATATGCCTTTCAGTCTCGCCTCCATTTCCTTCCCCCAAACCCTGCCGGAACTCGAATTCTTGCTCCCAGTTCGCCGGTAGGACTGCCGAAACTTATCGGAAACCGACGCCGATAAGTCTGATTCTGCATCGTTACTCTTCTGTAACAACTGCTGTGGAGTCATCATCGTCGCCGGTCCTGTACACGGACTGCAACCCCGATATGCTCCTGATGCTTTTAGCGCCATATCCTTGATCTATCAAAAAATAGAAACCGATCAATTCCATAACATTTTATCCCTGCTTCGATCAATCATCTATTAAAAGAATAGCAACTAAATAATGTAAAAATCAAAGGAAATAATCTGATTCCAAACACGAAGAATACAAAACAAACGTACCTGAGACGCGAGTGTTTTCGCAGTTTGCTTACTGGAATTGGTATTGCCATTGCGGTTTGATTCATCGAGCTTATCAGTCTGCTTCGAACGAGGCACACAAGTTACCATGTCATCTACTTGAACGAAATTGTATGATTAATCGATTGATTGAAACGGAATTCTAAGTATAGAACAGAGGAATTGATCGAGGAAGAAGTGAAATTCAGTGAGAATTAATTCCGATGAAATAAGAATTGAAGGTTTCATAGGTTGGTGGGGAGCTCAAGTATAGCAATAATAATATGTATGCTGTGTTGGTGCTCGGGCACTTTTATTAGTCTCCTTAATTTCCGCCATTAAATAGATTCCCTCTTCATTCATTTTACAAATTAAGGCCGCTGAAAAAGTCAACATCAAAATGTTAAAAATAAAATAGATATGAAATTTAGGTGTTTATAGATATGAAGTTTAGGTGTACATCAAACATCTTTCGGACGTGAGGTTAGAAGTTCAATTCCCTTAAACGACATCTTGTGGTGCCATATGTGGAGAATTTTTTCATGGAAATCTCTATGGGACTGTGTTTACACTATAAAAGAGCTTGAACCTAGGATGCTCGTTGAAATATTGTGAGTAGGTTTTTGTTTAATGCAATTGCAATTTCAAAAAAAAAAAAAAAAACAAACATGATCGGAAAAATATTAGGAATGTGTCTAGGTTCAAAACCGGATTCTAATGGGTGAGTTTATGTTTAAACGGGTTCAAGTCCAACAAATTTAGACGAGTTAGATACATGTTCATGTGTCTTAAAATGTGTTAGTGTCAAACCTTTTGAATAAGGTATAGCATGTATTGTTATTGGAGTCCTCGTATATAGCAGACAAGTCGATGATGAAACTGGTAGAAGTTTATAGGGAACTTGTGTTGCTCATATCATTATCGTATCGGATATATTGTTTCCAGTGTAAATTGATAATTAAAGCTTTGTGTTAAAAGAAAATAACATATGAATGTAAGTAATAGAGTTGATATTCATGAAACTAATCAAGTCATTTGTCAACAAGGATGTTATAAGGTAGTTGCAACTTGAGCCTATTACGCATACACATAGTATTGAAAACTTAGCCGAAGCATTCACGAAAAGGTTGGATAAAGACAAATGGGGCAGAAATAAACCAAACTTCAAACGAATATGATTTTGATCCATCGGTAGCTTTGAGGCTCCATTTATATGGACATAAATCTCTCGATCGGCCAGACACCTGTTGTTTCTGAATTTCGTTGTTTAAATCTGTTAATTATGACTTGAGCATTTTGAGCATCTTAACGACACACTTGGATACGATGACATACTTGGATGCAATGGCATACTTGGATACAATGGCACACTTGGATGCGATGGCATATGTAACTCCCCAAATTTTTCGATCAAAACTTTAAATATTTATTTAATTCACAACTTATCATTAAAAGATATCAAGTACACAAGTCCCCCTTTGATGCGATGCAAATGTAACACCCTAAATTTCAAGGCAAAATTTTCATTTAAAATAATCATTTTAATATTAAAACACTTGTTAAAAATCTCGTTCATAATTGAATTACAAAGCATAGTTTCATTTTCACTTGAATAGAAAACCAGGATCCTCCAAAATTTGACTCTTTCTCTGGTGTGTACAATCGAGCCGGTGCCATCCCGTGTTACTGAAAGAACCTGAAAACAACATAACACAAAACACTGTAAGCACGAAGCTTAGTGAGTTCCCCAATATACAACTTACGCATATACGCCTTTCCAGGCCCTGACCTTCCGGTCCACAACACAACCCGCCTTCCGGCCCTTAACATAATCGCCTTCCGGCCCGTAACATATTCGCCTTCCGGCCCATAACATATTGCCTTCCGGCCCATAAACATACACAGCACATAATACATTTATCTAACACATATACACATATATCATACATCATATCCGACCTTTCGGTCACATAACATATTGCCTTCCGGCCCATATAAACATACATAGCACGCATAGCAATTACCTTTCCATTTATAGCACTTATAACACATATCATACCCGACCTTCCGGTCACACAGTCAAACCCTTCCGGGTACAGTATAGTGAGAAGACTCACCTCGCGGATACTGAAAGTTAGCAACTCCTGAAATCCCTCGTACTTGATCCGCCGAGCTACAAGTCCCTATAACATCATATATCTCTTATTAATACTTTTATCTTCCACGTTAACTGACCCTAAGAATTACACATGGGTCAACTCTGGTCAACGGTCCACGGTCAACTCGACCGGACTCGGCGAGTACTCTGGCGACTCGGCGAGTCTAGTCGTCCTCCAATCCTCTAAGGTTTCCCTTCTACTCGTCGAGTATCCTCCTTGACCCGACGAGTTACTCCTGGAAGAATCGCGGGGCCACCCCGACTCCACTCGCCGAGTCTGAGGAACAACTCGACGAGTCCCAGTTATTCTTCAAGCTACTCGCCGAGTCTGCTCATCTGACTCGGCGAGTCCATGCCATGCAGCCGCTCAAACTGCTCCCTAAGGTCGGAACTGCTCCGACCATTCATAGGTCTGGCCTTCCTAGACTGATCCATTATGTATGGTCCTCATTTCGGTGCTCATGCTACACCCCAAGACTTATAATTCACATGTTGACCTAAGGCATAAGGATTTCAATCCAAAACCTTCACCAATTCCCGAATGCACAGACATGGGGGTATTCTGGACCTCCAAGGGTCCTAATACAGGGTTACAATCGTTTGGGGAACAAGGGTAACATTCAATCTATCCATAAAAGGGTTCCATAAACCCTAATCCTCAAAATACATCACCATAGCAGAGTATACACGAATTCTTACCTGGATAATGTGTTCTCTGTGTCCCCAATCCTCAGAATGTGACCCCCTTGCTGTTCCTTAGCCAAGCCCTTCTCTTCTTTGCACAACAACTCCTTCAAAATCACCAATGGCCTTTAATCTTGATCTAGATGCACACAATCGATTTAGAGTTCTTCTCAGAAGGCTAAAACGAACAATGAGCCTATAAGTCCCCTTTATACGTCCCAAACCTAAACGGCTAGGGTTTTCGCTAAACAGCGCAGACTCGCCGAGTCCCTATCTGACTCGTCGAGTCCAGTCGCGAACCCGCGACCAGGTCTGCGATCCTACTCGGCGAGTCTGGCTCCAACTCGCCGAGTCCCCCTTAAACACCCCTAAAATATAATTTTAACAATACTTGAAATTCCGGGCTGTTACAATTCTCCCCCACTAGAATCAGACTTCGCCCTCGAAGTCTACTCTGAAAATAGTTCCGGATGCTGCTCCCGCATCTCACGTTCCGACTCCCAAGTCATTTCCGATCCCTTCCGGGGTTGCCACTGAACCAACACCAGAACCTCCTTGTTCCTCAGAACCTTGATCTTCCGATCCCTGATGGCCACTGGTCTCTCAGCATAACTCAGGCTCGCATCCACCTAAATGTTCTCAGTGGAACCACTGCTGACTCATCGACTATACACTTCTTCAACTGCGACACATGAAAATGTCGTGGATCTATCTCAATTCCGCTGGCAACTCCAAAAGGTAGCCACCCGTCCTACCCTCAAATTTCACGAAAAGGCCCAACATACCGGGCCCCAACTTGCCCCTCTTCCTGGATCAAATCACCCCTTTTCCAGGAGAACCTTCAGGAGTAGAAGTGTCCGACCTTAAACCAAGCTCGTACCGGCGTCTGTCTGCATAACTTTTCTGTCAGCTCTAGGCGATCAATAACCTCTGTTTAACCTGTTGAATCTGCTCTGTCGACTGAAGCAGATCTCTGTACTGCCCACTACTCCTGTAACCGAGAATTAACCCACGATGCAATTCTGCTCCAAATCTCAACGATCACTCGACCCATAAGGGTTAGGAAACCATGAATCACCGGATCCCCGATCCAAAACCCACTTTATCCATTTCGGAACGATTGAGAGACCCATTCGCACTCTCATAGCAACTCTCACGAGTTCCCTTCTTGTATTCGCATACACATGCTGCACTAGTCCCAACATACCTTCCTCTTCCTTACCTAGGGAAATCCGCTTGACGACCTTGCCACTACTCCATGTATCGCACATGCTCTGGATCTGCTCGCAAGGACTCTCAGGTCCATGCGTTACCTCTCCTCAGCAATGAGGGTCCGACATACCTCCTATGCAACAGCTCAAAGGGCGGCATACCAATGCACTAATGATGGCTGTTGATATGGGACAACTCAACCAAGGATAAATACGTACCCGGCTTCCTCCAAAATCTAATACA